AGCGGGGGACCCGGGGAAGCTGAAACTGTGGAGTTTCTTTTACAACTTCGTTTGGAATGACTTTTCCGAAAGAAGTGCTGTTTTACTGGTGGGCGTCCCTATAAACTTCTGGGCTCCCCGGTGCAGGCCCCCAACACCGCAGATGTCCCCATTAGGGCCCTCCCACCTGGTCCCCAAACACGGATTCTCCATCCATGAAAAGCAGGCACTGTAATGATGGAGGATTTCCATAACTGCCTCGACAGGGCAAGCGGTCAAAGGGCCCCAGGCAATTTTAATTTTTTTTTGTTTTTTGTTGTGTGTGTGTGTGTGTGTGTGTGTGTGTGTGTGTGTGGTTTTTCTTTCTTTCTTTGTTGTTGTTGTTGTTATTGTTGTTTGTTTCTGATTTTTGTTTTTTTAATTGAGAACACTGATTTTTGAAAGTCAGTCACCAAAAAGACTTTTTAACTTTATGGTAACGAACAGTGCAATGGTATCCAATATAGCTCACATTGATAAATTTTAAATTGGTCAAATTTATAGAATCTGGCTTTTTTTTTCTAACTAAGCCAAGGTGCCCATAAATGGTCAGTTACTACGATTCATTTATCAATTTGCCCAATGGCCCACAGTTAGTCACCAGGATGAGAACTTGGGTCACTTTCCTCCTCCATCCAAGCATTTTCCACTTTATGGGACCGATGTGGTATTCCGGGGTGTGTGGCATTTTTGCACGCACAATTACAAATTAACTCAGGTACCTCGTTCTGTCAATGTGCATGGTTTATCACTGCTGTTTATGTGATTTAGGGACAGGTCAGATGGTGGGAACAGTGGCCTGAGCACCATGTCCCCTCACCATTAATCACACCCGGGGTGACGGACCACATCCCCTCCATGTGTCTCAGGGCCCAAAAGTGAGAGATGAGGGAACTGTGTGCTATGCATGGATTCGGAAGGGAGAGTTTCTCAGAAAAATGCAAAATCCCAGGAGAACAACTTGACATCACTTGGGAGGTGATTACATTTACTGATTCAAGGACCCTTTCAGAAAACGAAGAGGATTCCTGGAATAAGCTTTGGTTTACATGAAATTACCTTTTCAGGGAAGATCTGATTACTTTGGCCATCCTCACTAGGATATTTTCTTTTAAGGATACCTGGTGGCTCAGTTGGTTGAGTGGCTGGTTCTTGATTTCAGCTCAGACCACGATTTCAGGGTCTTGTGATCAAATCCTGCATTGGGCTCCGCACTCAGTGGGGAATGTGCTTGAGATTCTCTCTCCCTCTGCCCTTTCCTCCCACTCTCTCTCTCTCTCTCTCTCAAAGAAATAAATTATTTTTTACAGGATATTTTATTTTAATGTAAATCTATTCTCTTCAGAATCTTTTTTTCTCTCTTCAGACTCCTACGATGAACTGCTCACATTTTAAGGGAAAATATACAATAGTTCCTACAGACTTTCTAGTAAGGCTCTGAACGAGCTTACTGCCATTTCAGAAGACTTCCCAGAGCATTAGGTGAGCTCTGTGACTGCTGATCCTGCAGAGTGGGCAGGGCTGTACCCACTATACAGATGGGGAAAGTGGAGACAGAGAGGTCCCCTTGCTGTGTGAGATTGAAAGCCTTGCTCTTTGACCTAAAGTCAGTGGGGTGGGCAAAATTTATAAAAACAAGAGCAGACTGTTCATAAGGAAAGTTCCATCACCAACACTCCATGCTTGGTAGACGCGAGCAAAATATCAAACATAAGTTAAGACATAATGGACATAAAGAAATTTGAGCATGAGGGGCGTGTGGATGGCTCCATCAGAGAAGTGTCTGCCTTTGGCTCAGGTCGTGATCTCAGGGGGTCTTGGGATTGAGCCTCAGGCAGGGCTCCCTGTTCAGTGGGGAGTCTGCGTCTCCCTCTGCCTCTCCCCCTGCTCCCCACCACCCCCCGCAATCAGCTGGATGTCTTCTTTGCAGAAATGTCTGTTCATGTCCTCTGCCCATTTCTTGATTGGATTACTTGTTCTTTGGGTGTTGGGTTTGATAAGTTCTTTATAGATTTTGCATACCAGGTCTTTATCTGATATGTCTTGTGAGTATCTTCTCCCATTCTGTCAGTTGTCTTTTGGTTTTGTTGACTGTTTCTTCTGCTTTTCAGTTTTTCTAATTCCATTCCCACTCCCCAACATTTGTCATTTAGATTTTTACTTTGCTGATAATATTCTCTCTTCCTTCTCTCGTTTTTGACTCAAAATTTTTTCCCTTGAAGTTAAAGTAACCAGCATTTTTTATTAATTATTTTAATTAACATATATTTTTTGTCCCCTGTCAGGGGTACAGGTCTGTGAATCGTCAGGCTTACACACTTCACAGCACTCACCATAGCACATACCCTCCCCAATGTCCATCACCCAACAAGCCTCTCTACTGCTCCCGCCACCCCCAAGCAACTCTCAGTCTGTTTTATAAGATTCTCTTATGGTTTGTCTCCCTCCCAATCCCATCTTGTTTCATTTTTTCCTTCCCTACCCCCCCAAATTCCCCACTCTGCCTCTCAAGTTCCTTATATCAGGGAGATCCTATGATAATTATCTTTATCTGATTGACTTATTTTGCTTAGCATAATACCCTCTAGTTCCATCCACGTCATTGCAAATGGTGAGATTTCATTTTCTTGATGGCTGCGTACCATTCTATTGTCTATATATATCCCACATCTTCTTTATCCATTCATCTGTTGATGGACATGTAGGTTCTTTCCATAGTTTGGCTATTTTGGGCATTGCTGCTATAAACTTTCGGGTGCACGTGCCCCTTCAGGTCGCATTTGTATCTTTAGGGTAAATACCCAGTAGTACGATTGCTGGTCATAGGGTGGCTCTATTTTCAATGTTTTGAGGAACCTCCACACTGTTTTCCAGAGTGGTTGCACCAGCTTGCATTCCCACCAACAGTGTAGGAGGGTTCCCTTTTCTCTACATCCTCGCCAACATCTGTCATTTTCTGACTTGTTAATCTTAGCCATTCTGACTGGTGTGAGGTGGTATCTCACTGTGGTTTTGGTTTGTATTTCCCTGATGCCGAGTGATGTGGAGCACTTTTTCATGTGTCTGTTGGCCATTGGATGTCTTCTTTGCGGAAATGTCTGTTCATGTCCTCTGCCCATTTCTTGATTGGATTACTTGTTCTTTGGGTGTTGGGTTTGATAAGTTCTTTATAGATTTTGCATACCAGGTCTTTATCTGATATGTCTTGTGAGTATCTTCTCCCATTCTGTCAGTTGTCTTTTGGTTTTGTTGACTGTTTCCTTTGCTTTTCAGCTTTTGATCTTGATGAAGTCCCAATAGTTCATTTTTGCCCTTGCTTCCCTTGCCTTTGGTGATGTTTCTAGAAAGAAGTTGCTGCAGCTGAGGTCGAAGAGGTTGCTGTCTGTGTTCTCCTCAAGTTAACCAGCATTTTTGGAAAGTGTTCCCTCCTCTCAATTTTCCTCTAGTACTTACATGGTTTCAATTTTTACATCTACATTTCTGTTTGCTTTTTATCTTAGTATTTACAGTGAAAATGTATATGATTTTATGCTTCTCTTTGGGCTCCTCAATGATCTCAAATCTCTGTATAAATAAGTTTATTTCTCCCCACCGATTTGACATGTTGCCTATAATAGTATATCAATTTCTGTCTTCAGTTGGCTCTGGAGTTTCTATTGGGTTTCACTCACTTCTTTGTGGTCAGTATAACACAGTCTGAATTACAGAGGCATGAGAAGCTATTTTAAAACTACCCAGGCTTATCCATCACGCTGGTCTTTCAGAGTTTTCCTAGCTAGTTATTAGTTGCTTATTTTTCCAACTAAACCTTATAACTCTCCTTTTTTTTTTTTTTTAGCTCTACAACAAAACCCAATCAACTAATAATGTTGAATCTTCACATCTAAGAATGTGGCGTGTCTTCTATGTGTACAATTCTACTTTTGTGTGTCTTTGTGGTATTTTACAATTTTCCTTAAAAATGCTTTGGATATTTCCTATGAGGTTTTTATCCGAGCTCTACCTATTTATCTATGTCATGAATGTATTTCCCTGTGTTGCACTGAGCGAAAAGAATCACACAAATAAGCAATGCCCACCACAAAATTTATGCTGCCATTCTTTGCTGTTGGAAAAGTTATAATACCTAGTGCACTGAAATAAGCAAATAGGTGTGAGTAGCCAAAGCCCTCTAATGTAATTAAATAAATTCCCACTCAAACACAAATGTAGCTTATAGAGTACATGGAATATTAGAAGACATTTTCCAATAGGTTCTGGCCAAAATCGAGACTACAATTGCAGATTGACGCATCAATGGACATTTCAAACTGTTCTCAGTTGTTTAAATATGTTTTATAGCAAAGCAAATGTCATTGCTGATGTGGTCATGGCAGGTGAAGACTTCCTTAAGATTATACAATTCAAGGGGTGCCTGGGTGGCTCAGTCAGTCAAGCGTCTGACTCTTGATTTTGGCTCAGGTCATGATCTCAGGGTTATGAGATCAAGTCCCATGCTGGGGACTGCACTGGGTATGGAGCCTGCTAAAGATCTCTCTCCCTCTCCCTCTCCCTCCACCCCTTCCCTGCTGCTCATAGACCCACTCTCTCTATCAAAAAAAAAAAAAATCATTTTGAAGTGGAGTTGCAGAGTTTAGGAACTGGTAGATTTCAGGATAGGAAAGAGGGCCATGTGGTCCTGAACCCATCAGCTGCTCCTGAACGTATGGGAGAGATTCCAGAGGGCATAAACTCAGTTAATCTAACCAAGGATCCTCCTGATCATGTTAACAGTACAGAGAAGTAGGAACTAAAACACCACACAGCTTCCAAATGTAGCATGGGCAGGTAAACGAGAAGCCATACACAATGTCGTGCCTCTGGACTGAACATACAAAACCCAAACATCTTAACTAATCTACAGTCCCATTTTCTAGAAGGTCCTGTGAAGCGGTGTGAAGCCCACCTGGTTGGCAAGAAGCAACTTCGGGTTTAGTACTCACGTTTGAGCCCCTTCCCAAAGCGGACTGTGAGGTGTCCTCATCACTGTCCACCCCGGACCGCCCGATCTGCTCAGCCTGGAACACAGACACGCAGCATGTCATCTCCAGGTCAATGTATGCCCAGGCAAAAAAGTGGCGATTGTAACAGCACAAAACCAGTGTGGTCTTCAAGGCAGCAGGCTCTGACCTGAGTGGTTTGTAATCCATGGCCACGCCCCTCAGCACAGAAACCCCAAAGCCCGGAACCAAAGTGCTCACTGATCCCAAAACCAGTTTTGAAATTCATGACTCAAGGGAGGGGTGCTCCTTTTGCTTCTTCCCAAGAGCATATATTTAGCTTAGAAAATACGTAATATGAAAACAGTAGTTTCATGAGTGTGAGCTGATGGGATTTGCTCACAAAAACAATGAATTAACTAGTTTGGGGGGAACTTTTGAGCTTTAAATTCAGTTTACCACTGCACTGTTTATACAGAAATAATTCACCAAATAATTATATATATAGAAATAATTCACCAAATGTCCCCCTATCTGTCCATAAAAGATAAACAGTAATGACATCTTGCTTGATTCTTCAAGAGGACATTTTGTGTGACAGCATGCCGGCCACCAGCTATAGCATTTGACCCCAAAATGCTAGACCCATTGTTAGGCTGGGTCTTAGGGTGATTCTTAGGTACTTTTTCAGAACCTCTGTGTTGGGGAATAAATAATGTCAAAATTGTACAAAATTATCACGTTCTGAAAATAGTAAAATAGTGAACTTTTAAAACACAAAGATATGGGCCCTCATCTACTTCAGCCAAAATGATATCCCTCAAATATATCCTCCGTTGAGATTTTACACACACACACACACACACACACACACACATTTTTTGTTTTGTTTTGTTTTGTTTTAAGAAGATATTGTAAAGACCTCCTTAGCTTTAATTGCCTTGATAATTCTCCATCCTTAGTGTTCTGTCCTCTTGAGACACTTGTGGACTATTTGGCCTCATAAGATTTTAGAAAACATGTAAATAATGATTACCTCCAAACCCTCTTAGTGTTAGTGCAAAAGAGTAGAATTCTGGACCTTTCAAACACATACAGTGTGAACGAGTGAGGAAAGCCAGGGCTCTAGAAAGACAGGCTGGTTGGAACTCAGTCACCAGACCGAGGGTCAGCTCAGAGGTACGCAGCCTTCTTTCCTGCACCTGTGAAATGAGGTGAGCAGTACGTCTCTCACCAGGCTTCTAGATTAAATGAAGTTGCATTTAGCGCATCTCAAACCATGAAGAAAAGAGAAACAAGGAAGAAGCTGATGCCCCAAACAACAAATAATCCAGCAAAGATACCACTGCGTAAGAGAGTTTTAGAGTGACATAAAGTAAGAAAGGAAGAGAGGAGGTATATTAGAAAGGAAAAATAATCCCAGCCTGCCGAGTGGGAGCCAAGATGGCAAGACAGAAGTCCCTGCACCTGTGGCATTCTCTCAGGGTCCTCCTGGGGTGGTGTCTCCCGACAAACACTCAGAAGCTGGACTGTCTCTTATCTCCCACACCTTAGGCATTCTTATTTTGCTTAAAACAAAAGCATTTCTTGATTTTTTTTTTTTTTTGGCTTTCTGGCAGTTTAAGCTCTCAAAAAGAGTTAGACACAAGAGGACTCTTGAGATCTCAGTGTGAGGAAATGGTAGGTTTTACTGTGAACTGGTGTCACCAGGATGAAGGAGGACAGTGGGGAAGTATTCCCGGCAAACTTAACCTCCCAAATTCCAGGAACTAAGAAATACAACATTGATAGAATAAAGGGAAATTCAGATGCAAAAGTCTGAATCTGTAATTTCAAAGTAAACCTGACCAGGGATAAGGGAAAGGAGGTGAGGGATAGGGAAGCGAGGGTGGGGAAAAAAGGGGGACAGGAACAACAAGGGAGAGGAGAGAAAGTTGCTGGGAGAGGAGGAGCTGGGAGGGAAGGCAAGATGGGGAGAAGGAAAGTGCAAAGGATCTACAGAGAAACATGCTGAGCACAGATTTTCAAAGGACAAGCAGAAACGTAATAATCACTAACAACAAAAAAGAGATTCACAAAACCAACATCAAAACTTCAGGACAGGCAAAGAGAAAATGAGCCGCACTGTGGCACTGTATGTGGGGAACTGTCAAAGGGTAGTTCAAGCTCCTGAGCCACACGGGGACCTTGGCTTTCACCCCTAGGGCTCTGGCCCCGGGGGGGAGGACCAGTGTTGTAGTCTGACCCACCCGGACCTAAGCCGGACCCTGAGCACAGCGCTTATTTGCATTCACTCTTCCTATCAGCAGAGGGGTGTGAACCCTCCCACCCCTCAGCCTCGGGGAGCGGGGGAAAGGAGATGCGCAGCCTGGGGCACAAGCAAGGGGCCTCTCAGCCAGTGCCAGGCTGCCCTCCCACCTGGCTTTCACCTGTACCCAGGTGGACGCTTCCACACCGAGCTGCCGGTATCAGAGCCCAGCATCTGCTGGACCGGTTTCGTCTTTTTAGTCCCACTCATCAGTAAGGAGAAACTACCAGACACTAGCAAAATACACCCTTTAGACAGATACAATAGGGGCAAGGAGCAGCCTCTTCTCTTGCTTGTGAAAAGTCATTTACGGTTTTGGGGATTTCAGAAGCTGACTGCAAAAATCCCCAGTCTCGGTCTCTGCACCGTGACCCCGCTCTGCAACATGGCATCCAAAGTACGATTTTACGATTTACTGCATAAAACCAACAAGAGCAATAAAACTAGCTTATCACGCAACATATTCCAAACCATCCTGGGAAGACCAAAGGCCACCAGAAATTTACCAGCAAAGGACGGTTCAACGACGGATGCCCTTCTCCACGAAGAGGCCCCAGGGCAGCGCGGAGAGGCCCTGCACGTTAAACAGGTTCTAAAGGTATTTCATTTGTAGGCATACGGACTGTTTTCTTTCTTACTTTCTTTTTAATCAACATAGCAGCAGCACACGCTCACTCACTCATTCATCAGTCCACAGGGTGTCTCCTGAGCTGCAGCTTCATACCAGGTACTGCGCATGCGCTGGCCCCTGAGCCCCAGCTTCACACCTGAGCTGCCGGGAAGCCGCAGCTTCACATCTGGCACCGCGCATGTGCAGGAAGCGAGCTGCAGCGTTACACCAGACACTACGCATGCGCCGGCCCAGTGGCGCTCAGAGCTTGGTACCCTATAGGCGAGCACAGCACTGCCCCCCACACCCTGCGGCTTTAGGAATCAAGGGTGGAAACAGGCCAGCCGCTTCAGTGCCTGTGGATAAGCTCCCTCTCCCCCAGAGAAATGAACAGTCCTAACAGTATTTAGAAAGATTCCAAGATAGGGTGAATACAGACATCCCAAGCAACTATTTTTCTGAAACGCAGAATCCTACGTGTATTTTAGTCCATTACCTTACTACTGCTTCTTTTATTAACCTTGAAAAATCCCAGAATTTTTTTCTTCTCTTTATCTGTCTCATCATGGCCAAGCGAGGATTTTCTAAAAGTTTCTGGGGGAGAAGAAAAAAAGAAAGACTGTTATTGTCTGCACATGAAATGAGGTTAAACAGAATCTCAACAAACGAACCCTCCACTATTAAACTTCCAGATTTTCCAAGACGGTAAAATGGCAACCATGTCTGTCAAAGCATTCCGAGCCACCTCAAAGCCTCCAGTCCCCTCTGTGAACTCGCTGAAGGTTCTTACAATCTTCAGTGAGTTGGGTGGCGTTTTTCTCAGGGTGGGATTGAACCCTGAATGTGAACAAAAAAAACCCAAGAAATCAAAAAGTTCTAGGGTAGGACCGTCCGGTAGAAAAAATAAAATGAACCACACATGGAATTGTACATTCTCCAACAGGCGCAATTTTAGCGATGTGTTCTGTGTAATCCAACATAACCAAAACATTATCATTCCATCACACAATCCGTAGAAAAATGATGAATGAGATGTTTTAAATTCATTTTGGTATTGAGTCTTTGAAATGCAGTGCGCAGGTCACACAGCACAACTGGGTTTGGACTGGCCACACTCCAGGTGCCCACGAGCCACACGTGGCTTGTGACTCTCGGGCCGACAGCACAGCCCCAAGGACCAGGAGGTCTGTGTAAAACACCTGCTTTAAGAATTGTAAGTCTGGGGTGAAAACACTAACTAAAATAAATCAGCAGCTTTCTGTTGAAGAGCCCCACTCATGTCCAGACTATGGAACGGCAGCCGTGGTTAACCTAGGCGGTGTCAAAATAATCCCATGCATCACAGGAATCCAGGATTCACACTTCCAGATTTGCCTTCTTCGACCTCAACCAGAATGTTGTCCTTCTTGATCACATTCTCTAGGGCCCGTTTTTCTTTCTTCTGTTGTTTTGTTATTCTTGAACCCCAAGTCTTCTTTCCTCTCTCTTCCTTACCAGAAGTTAAGAGCTGGAATGAGCCCCATCGTGTTCTGGATGGGGACACTGAAGCTCAAACTCGTCGGGCAGCTGACAACATTGCAAGGGTGTGGAGGGGCCTGCCACATCCGTATCACTGAGAACCTGGGCCCACTCTAGATCTCTGACTCTGAGCGGGGCCCAGCACCCTGTGTGTTCACCAGTCTCCCCCCAGCCAACACCACCCTGCGTGTGAACGCAGCCTAGGGGCTCCCTTGAGAACTGGCAGAGCAGAGGTTAGGGGCCTGACTTGTTCAGACTGCTTTGCCACTCCAAGCCTGTTTCCTCCTGTGCAGAGAGGGTAACTAGCCTGGGATCCAGGGCGCCCCGCCATTTCTGGTTGCCATAATTCACTGGCTTGCTGACACTCCAAAGGCCACTCCAGGATTTTATCATGAACTCATCCAGGGCTTCTCTTCCAAGGCACACAGAGATGGCAAGAGGGGAAACATTTAGGTGTTCCTAAGGGACAAAAAAATGAATCTCCCCAGTCCACTGCCAACCGCTGGGGAGTCAACTTGTCAATGCACAGGTGGAAAAGTCTGGACTGGGATTGTACACGTCTGCTGTCCAAACAGCAACCCAAACAAGGCATACATGTCAGGTAACTTCCTTATCTGCTGGCCTAGAATTTCATACTCGAGTTAGAGAACATACACGGAAGTCAGCATGTTAGTAACAAATGCATTAACACACATCTACCCAACACAGTAAAACCCAAACACCTCTATTCCTTAAATCACTGTGTGAGTGGCAAAGGCTCAGATCTTAGACAGCCAAGGCTCTTGGTTACGTGCAGGCGGCCCCACCTGGACTACTGGGCCTTCCACACCACACAGCATCCAAACCAGTGAGCGGGGCAGCTCCAATCATGAGGCACGTGTGCACACACATCCACGTATGCACACAGATCTCACAGCTGATCCCACTGAAACCCTCCACACGAAGCACAGAGCTGTGAAAAGTAATAGAGACTACGCCACAGAGTCAAACTACGTGTAGGGAAACAACAGCAAGTGCTAATATGTGTATTCATAGCTGATCCTGTTTCTAGAATTGAGTGACAGGTGGCATGGATATAGTAAAACACGTGACATTGTAGCGCCCAGTGGGTGAATGAGAGAGAGAGAGACTTGTTATTGGCACCTAGGCAATGACACTGACCACAGAAACGTCAGACTGATCAGAAAACTGTCACAGAATTGAACCTCTCTTCTTCTCTCCTTAAACAGGGACAGAGGCTGGTCACTAGCCCACGGGACTGGGCGCTCAGGGACAGCCCTGGTGCCAGAGCCTCCCTGTGGTGGCGCGACAGGTGTTCTGCAGGCGTTTCTCTCTGGAGGAAGCAGGGGCCCCAGGCAGATGGTGTGAGGGGCAAGGGCGAGGGACTGGAGATTGTGTACTGATAGGGGCCTTCTGTGAGGCCTCCAGGACCCCACAGACATGCAGAAGGGCTGGTGTGCGGGCAGAGCAAGAGCACTTGCTGGTCCCTGGTGTTTCCATCAGACAAAGGGGCGGCAGGTGCAGGCCACACGTCAGGCCAGTAACTCTTCATGGATACACAGCCAGGCTGGGAGGACACACACCCGGCCTAGAACCTGGGGCTCCAGACACACAATCTGAGTACAAAAATATTTCCTTCAGTTTACTCCCATGTGCTTGAAGTTAAATAGCAACCAAAGTGTAGGGGACAACATGCTCCATCTCTAAAAGGGACCTACTCTTGAAGTACAGACGTGATCTGCAGAATAAGGATGAACTGAACGGCGCAGGGGGAGGCAAGGTGTGCAGCGTCCTGAATACCAGCGAGTCCAAACCCCTCACCTTTGCAGAGGAGAAAATGGAAGGTCAGAGCTGTTGAGTGGCTAGAGCACACTCACAAGCAAGTCAAGGCCAGAGGAGACCCAGGCCGGCATGGGCATCCTTCACACAGGGAAACCTCCGAGTTCCGGTCCCCAACATGGGCCGTGGGCCACAGGGGTCTCGACCGGCAGTCTCTGCTGCTGTCTGCCCACGGCCCCAAGTCAAACCAGTCCATACCAAAGAAGGCTTCACGTACATGACTTCCCTGCTCAAAACAACTACCACTCATGGTGCTTCTTAAAAGGGAATCCTTCTGTTTGCAACATTCATCTAGACGGTGTGATGGGGTCCGTAACAGACGAGAGCTATGGTCAGACGCAACACGCATGGACTGTGGTTGCAGACCAATGCCCACTTTTGTGCCGTTCATCTCTTTTATGTAAGAGACAAATACTGATCGGGATTTTAATGAACTTTCTGGAGACAGTGTGTGTGTGTACACATGCAGTCCAAGAAGGTCAGAGGAATCCCACTATATAATACGTGTGACTATATATATCTATGCATGTGTGCGTGTATATGTAAATGTGTGTATTTGTGTTTGCCTGTCAAGTGTATGATAAGTAAGTGTCAGAGTAAATGCAAAAGCTGGGCTCACCATATATATACTTGTCTATGGCCGAAAAGATTGCATTTCAGTCTAGACTGCCCCAAAGTCTGCAGCAGACAGAATGGACACCAAGGGCAGGTGAGCACAGGTGAGCACAGGCAGAAGGGAAAACTGTGTGTCTGTGGCATGTGCCATTTCCACTGCGCCCTAAAATTCCATGTTCCAAAGGGACCCATTTTCTACCCCAGCCGCCTTCATCTACACCGCAAATTCTCACACGAGGGACATTCTCTCAGGCAACCTGGAGTCAAGAAACCAAACCAAAGCCTCACGTCAGCTGACGAGATGCCCCTAGAAGGGCTGCGCGGCACAGCACACTCCTTCAGACCCTGCACGCGAGCGTCACTTCCATGCATCGTCCTAGCCCAGAGCCATGCAAAGCCCAGGCGGACCGGAATGGGCTCACTGTACCTTGAGAGCTCAGGGAGGGCTCCGACTGAGTTTTGGTCAGAAGAACTGGAAGAAGCAGGCAATGAGAGAGTGAGCACAAGCTTCCGAGGGCAGCAGCACATGACCATGGCCATGGTCCCTCAGCAAGCCTCACAAGGGGGTTGTCTGGGCCCCCACAGGAGAGGCCAAGGGTCCTGGCCTTGGATCTCCCTGGAGCCTGCAGATGCCAGGCTGCCAAGCTCTCCTGTGGAAGCAGGTGGCAGCAAAGCCTTCTGCTGTTCCAAGCTGCCACCATCAAGACTTCTGGAGGAGGCGGGACCCTGCCTGGTGACACATCTCCCCCAGCCCTGGCCCTTGTCCCTTGGAGCAGCTGCTGGCTGCAGAGGGGCTGTAATCCAATAGGGGCCACAAGGACAGGGCTCCCTATAGGCATCTTCTGGACTGTTCTCCTTTCATCTCAAATACTTGACTGCCGGTAGGGATAAAGGCATTTGGCAGTGATGAGTATCAAAGGCTTCATGGCCGGCGTGGCGCGTGGCCTAGTTCAGTCCAGAGGAAAGGGCTGCTGGCCGCTGGGCTGGAGCCGGTCACCTACCATGCTGGCTGTTGTGCCTTTCTTTTCCGGGGAGGGTACTGGGGTCCCAGACAGAAGGGTCCCTCAGAGGGCACCCAAGGCAGTGACAGGCACTCAGGGCTCAGGTGCTACCAAATATGACAGCTACCAAATATGGCTGCACCTGTGTGTCCTTCCCTGTGTGGGGGTGGAAAGACGGAGCCCCAGCCCGACAGAGGTCCCCTCCCTGAACACCTCCGCTCTGTGTTCTGGACCACCACAAGCTTCCTGGGATCCATGTTGCTTGGGGCGCCAGATTTTATAGGACTTTTCCCAGGGAACAGGTTTCACATCTACATTTTGAGATATATCTGAGAATTGACCTGTGACAGAAATAGTTGTTTGTAAGGCTTTTTTCTTTCACAGGCTTGTGTTGAGAAGCTTTTCCCCCCCTCCCTCCCCTCCCCTTTCCTTTCTTTTTTTCCCCTTCCCCCCCCCCTCCCTCCCTCCCTCCCTTCCTTCCTTCCTCTTTCTTTTCTTGTTCTTCCTTTCTCTTTCTTTCCTTTCTCTCTCTCTTCTTTCTTTCTTTCCTTCCTTCCTCTTTCTTCCCTCTTTCTTCTCCTTCCTTCCTTCCCCCCTTCCTCCCTCTTGCTAAATGAAGTCTGTGTGTCTAAAGAGGCACAGAAACCACATTTATAGAGGGCTTATAGAACCAGGCAGACATACTAGCTATATCCAGGCCTGTGTAGCAGATGCTGGGAATAATCTTGTCTGAGTTTTAAAAAGATGCCACATAAGGCACAAGATGCATTGCTCTCAAATATCAGAGCACCTTTTTTGAAATGAGACAGGGGTCCAGAACCTCTAGAGGACTGGGGGAAGGAGAGGAGGCTCAACGATGATCATTGATTTTTGCGACAAAATTGGTAATAAGTGGGGCTCCTGGATGGCTCAGTTGGTTAAGGATCTACATGCTCAGCGGGGAGCCTGCTTCTCCCTCTCCCTCTGCTGTTCTCCCCTGCTCATGCACATGCCCTCTCTCTCTGCAGTAAATAAATAAAATCTTAAAAAAAAAAACTGGTAATAAGAGATTTTCTTGGAGGAATTTGAAACGAACTATAGAAAAACATGAACAAATGGAATATATTTCAACAACCCAACCTATTCTGTATTTGTGGAATAAATAAAAGACCACAGATATTAAATGAGCCTCGTGAAAACAAGGCACATTTATGAAGTTCACTTTAATAATGCTTAGGTCAAGGAATATTCATTTATTTTTTTGTCTACTCATTCATTTATTTAGTTCGGTCTGACAGCTGTTTCCAAACAGTCCGCCCTTTGGGTCAATCAGGGATCTGTGCTCACACACACACCAGTCTCTGTGCCAACACCTCTCGAGTGGCCACTCGCCCCAGCGGCTCTGGGCCCTCAGGTCAAGTACCAAGTTCACACGAGAAGTCAGTAGTTTCTGGCATCAGTGGTGAGGAAGCCCAAAACAGCATCGTAAGCTGTGTTCAGGGACTGATCTCCTGATCTCTAATTCAGGCAGTTTTAGAGAAAGAGCTAAATGTGTTTTGTCACTGTTTTGTGTGTGTGTGTGTGTGTGTGGTGTTGTTTTGTTTTGTTTTTTTTTAAATAAGTATTTTATTTATTTATTTGAGGGAGAGAGAGATAGCATGAGCAGGGGGAGAAGCAGAAGGACAAGCAGACTCCCTGCTGAGCAGGGAGCCAGACCCGGGACTCGATCCCAGGACCCCGAGATTGTGACCTGAGCCGCAGGCAGACGCTTAACCGACCGAACCACCCAGGGACTCCTTTGCTACTGGTTTTGATGACGAGCAATGTCTGAGACTTGGGGGCAGTTCCTGGCAACTGAATAAGAAATCCAAGAGAAGATGGTTCACGTGCTACAGCTGCTTCTTCACTTACCCCGCCGAGCTCACAGGAGACAGGGTGATGCTCAGAACATGGTCAGGACGGTGGGGGAGGGAGAGGCATAATTACAATTGAGGGGAGTGGGGACAAACCAAATTTATTTTCTGCCCACTTCAACTGTGCTTTGGACAACACTTGGGTTGCCTAAAAATTCAGGTACCCATTGTCTCTGCTGGGCACCTCGAGCACTCACGGGCAGTTATGTCTGCTTCCCGCCTGTGCTCTTACGGGGCAGGTGTCAAAGACGCAAGGTGGCCTCACCTCGTTTGTTGTCCCATGCGTAGAGCTCCTTTATCCCCAGCTCGTTGAGGGACTTGGAAAGTTCCAGCTCCTCCCCGGCAATATTGTCCCTGAGGAGAACCACGTGCTCTGGACTGACTTCACACTTCGCACAGATGACGGGCAGAATGTTCTGGAGTGGCACTTCAGGGCTCACACGCACAACGGCCTTTTGGGTTCGCAGGTAATTCACTACCAAGCGCACAGATTTCTGGAAGGACACCCCGGACAAAAGAATTCTGTAAGTGTGTGTTCCCACATGGCCTCACCCTCTGCTTGTGGGCTCAAAATGACCACGGCAACGTTTTGTGCAAAACTCTTTGTGCAAAACTCAGTGGGTTGTGGGGGAACTGCCATACTGAAAAGTGCAGGATAAACACCCGGCATAATACACTTCCTCAGAATCTCTCACTGAGGAGCTAACAGCTAAAAACACGGGGGAACGGACATGGTGAGGGGTCTGGGCTTATCATCGAACACATACGCCGCCTTTCCAGGATCCCAAACAGACCCGAACACGAGGTGCTCACATAGATTTTGTGAAGGAAGATAGTTTCAAAGTGTCATGAACGATTCAATCTAAAGAAAACCCCTAAAAAAACCAAGATACCAAAGTTTTAGTTAAGCAGCCAAAAGACTCACATAAATATATTAATATCTATGTAAATATATATAGTGTATATATGTCTGCGTAAACACATATATATGTATATTACACGCACATATATTTAAGCTGGAAAAAAATAACAGACAGACAACATATGCGTATAATAGCCATATAATGATGAGCACCATAATCAGAAAAAAAAAATCAGTTTGACTAAACCTGATGCCAACTGTCTATTGATAAACTGGCCCATCAAAAAAAAAATTAGTATGCTGAAGTTTGAGGCAGTCAACTTTTTCCTGGCCTTTACTGACACGGCATCATCTGAGAATGCCGGAGAGGGGTCACAGCAAGTGTGGGCTGAACAGAATCTCACTGAGGTGGATCCACACCCCATTCCAGAGTAGAAATGCCACCAGTTAAAATTTATTAAGCCCCCAAACATAAAAATTGATAGAAGATGAACTATTGGCCAAACTGCCATTTTTAGAAGCGGAAAAATTTAGTAAATATTCTCAAGAATCTAAAAGCTTTTATTTATCTTTTTAAAAATATTTTATTTATTTATTTGACAGAGAGAGACACAGCAAGAGAGGGAACACAAGCAGAGGGAGTGGGAGAGGGAAAGCAGGCTTCCCGCTAAGCAGGGAGCCTAATGGGCTTGATCCCAGGATGCTGGGATCACGACCCGAGCTGATGGCAGATGCTTAATGACTGAGACACCCAGGCGCCCCAAGAATCTAAAAGCTTTTAACTGGAGCTCGAAGATCCACAGCAAAGGCTTATGAAAAAGTACCATCAGGAGCTGGAGTTCATTTTAATCAAAAGTCAAAAGCCTGAGTTACATCTCTATCTAAGATACGCTCCAAGTGCAATGAGGAAACATTTCCCACGTCAGTTTCTCAAAAGGGACAACTCCTGTTACTTCTCTCTCTAGGAAGAAGTTCAGATCTTCCCCATTCCCCATGGCTTCCTCGGACAGGAAGACCTCCAGAATGGAAGGAGAATGGCTGTAACTAGTTCAACAAGGTAGTGGCTGGTTACCTCTGGTTATTTAAAGTTGAATTAATTAACATTAGATACAATTAAAGGCTCAGTTTCTCAATCACACTAGCTGCACTGTACCTGCTTAACAGCCTCATGCGGCCAGGGGTGACCCCTTTGGAAAGTTCAGAATGATAAACCATCTCTTTCTGTGTAGAAGGTTCCAAAGGCTACCTCTGCTCTAGACTGATTCCTCTTCTATAATATCCAAAGGAGCAAAGATACAACCATTGAATATTACTGAAATCGGCTAATTTCCATCTTCTGAAAGAAGCTCAGTTTAGAGTCTAATTTTGGCTAGCAGGGAGGTAGACATTTCAACAGCTGTATGCTGTACACACATGTTACTCAGATAAGAGGGGTTCCACCAGCCCCCCATCTCAGCTCCTCGGCCACAAGTGTCTCATATGCCCTCAGATACAAAGGGTCCCCCTCTTCCTACTGACCTCAGGTACCTTGGGTGGAGCAGGCTTCACCTTCTCTTCGGGAACTTTCTCTTTGAGAAATACAGTGTGCACATTCAGGGTCCCAACTAAAGTATTTGGCTTAAAACTCAAAGGCTGTTGGGTTTCGGAAGACCGGATCTCGAGGGCGTGGTGGGATGGGTTCAGGTGGTTCTGGAGACAGAGCTCAACCAGTAGGTCCATCATCGCATGGCTGGAAAAGGGAAACAGATCACATTAATTAGGAATGTTTTTGCCCTCCCCCTTCAGTCAAGCTGAGTAAGGGTCAAACCCACGCACCAGTAGGTGAACGAGCAAACTGGTCATGCATATGACAGGCAACCAGAGCTCATGGATCCCTGGTGCAGGACTGGACAGCGTTTCCCAACATCTCCAACACTAGTCAACAAAATGCCTGGAAGAGCAACCATCAGAGCTGGGACAAGAGTTGTCTGTAGTTATGTTCATAGCCATGTTGACTGGAGTCCTAGAAGGTTAATCAGCACACATGATACTACTACTAAAGACTAAATTTTTAATGATTCAGCAATATAATGGCTCTTAAAAAGTGAAAAATTTAAAAAGATTTTATTTATTTATTTGAGAGGGAGAGAGAGAGACAGAGAGAGCGGGGGAGAGGGATGGGGGAGAGGGAGTCCCAAGGAGACTCCATGTTAAGCACAGAGGCCAACTTGGAGCTTGATCTCACGACCCTGAGATCATGACCTGAGCTAAAACCAAGAGTCGGTCGCTCAGCCAACTAAGCCACCCAGGTGTCCCCAGACTGAAAATTTTAAGTTGAAGACGATAGCTAAAAAAAAGTATGCCTTTTTAAAGACAAAAACCCCCAAACAAAAAAACAAAACCCGAGGAAAATGACCTTGCTTGGGTGTCAAAACTTGTCCTCATGCTCCCCGTCACAGGGAATTGCTTACTGAGGGAGGAGCGTAACAATTCAGATCACTCTGAAGAATATCTTTTGCTTCTTTTATATCTCCCTGGCAGAAGGTTTTTATATTTAAAGCTGATCCCTCTTTCCTAAATTTCCCAAGCAGTGAAGCCTACACCTCTCACAAAAGCATAGGTCTTTCCTGTGATCTATTTCTTAAACAGGAACTGAAATGACAACTATTTAAGGTCATAGTTATGCTTTCCAGGTGCCTGGGGATGCAGGTGTGCAGATCACGGACTCGCAGTTCTTCTGTAAACACACAAGTGACAACTGTCCTGCTGCAGCCTGGGCACCTGACACTCACCTCGAGGGCTGTGGGCTGCTGGGGGTAGTGGCTCCAGACAGGAGAAGCACAGTCAGAGTCCCAAGCCAGAGAGATTCCCCAAAGTACCCTACTTTTCATTCAACTGCTACAGTTTGAAATTAATCTCAGATTGATAGAAAACAACTCAGCACTTCTGCGAGGTCTGGGGACTCTGATGGGGCGTTTGTGGGGCCAAGGCAGTGCCCACGGTCTCAAGGGCTCCAGCACACATGGCCATACCGGCTAATAACACTGGGAGGACTATAAACTTTGAATCCCTCAACTCAGGGTGGGGTGGGGGGGGGCAGAAATCATCTTTATCCCAACCACAAGCTTAATGCAATGCAACAAACAAGCTCTAAGATGTGAGGTCATTCCTCTGAGGAGCCTCAGTAGAGAAAACAGACTTCTAACGATGCTAAGATGACTTCGTGTGTATCCATGAAGCCACTCATGTGCCTCCCTTCTGCGCCACCTAGTCTGAGAGGCGAGGTCTCTGGGAAAAGGCAGAGCAGGCTTGGGACCCTGGTGCATCTGAGGCTCGCTGCTTTCCTGTCTCTGTCTCCACCCACATTCGGCTGCTGCCTCCAGCCACAGTCGGCTTGCACTGGGTAAACACACCCAAATAAACTGTCAAATGGGTATTTGAGTTAATCTTAGACAGGAAACCACAAAGAACACAAAAGCTACTCATGTTACTTTCTGTTCATTTAATACACTAATTGGTAACACATTTGAAACATCAAATTAGAGACTCAGAAAGAGAGGGGCCAGCTCCAGGGGAGGGCGCAAGTTTCTCCATCACGGAGAACAACCCTGGCTCGCCATCACGGAAGCCAGTAGTTACTGAATGTGCCAGCATACTGAGGTACCCATTTTCTGGCCCAAATAATGGGGTACCCAAATTTCTGTGTGTCTGGTGGATTTCCCCCCAACTCGCCTGATCCTTTCTGGCTTTCTCTACTTCATTTAATGCATGATGAGTTTCTTCCAGTGACAGTCGCAGCAGTTCGAAGTGGAAGTAGTTTCTGAACAAAATGTTTGGGGTGGGGAGGCGGGAGGGGAGGCACAAGGCAAAGTTCCCAAGCAGAAGATTCTATGTGCTGGGGGACTATCTCCTCAAATTTACTATTAAAGAAAAAAAAAAAAACTAACAAAATAAAACCCCATAAGAGCATGATCATAAAACCCAACACCAGATGCCTGGCCCGGCCATGATATGTGCTTAAAGTGTATGAAGAACTCAGAGGCCATTACGCATTCAACTTAGACAAGCAAATCGGACATCATCCTTTCCCAGTGGTAGGAACCCCAGCCAGGACAGAGGGGTTCTCATAGTGAAGTAAGGAAGTTTGGGGCTGAGGAGAGCTCAGGTTTTGGCAGTTGTCTTGCTCCCCTTCAGGCCACCTGCATCTGGGACTCCCAGAGGGGCACAGCGTCCTGACGGGACCGAACTTGGGTTGCACTTGAGAAGCTGGATACCCACCAGTCCAAACACGAGGACCTGGGTCCAAAAGCACGAGCTCATCTTCCAACACTTCCTGCAGGGTCGGCCACTTTGTGTGAACCTGCCCCAGGCTCATTTAAACCACCACCGGATTTACTACTTTTCCACTACAGGCTTTTAAGGATCACGCCCATGGAAAATGAGGTGGGAGGCGGGGCTGGCCTTTATAGCCTCTGAAAAGAGGGTGGGAGGTGGGCTGGCCCACCCCAGTTAATCTGCTTTCTTGGCTGGCATTTAAAATACCGTATTCCCAGGAGTACGCCAGTTCTTCCAAAGCTTCTTTGATGCCCCTGGAAAAATTTACCCACAAAGAGAGAGGAAAGGCAAAGCACAATGGCAGTGCCCCAAAATGGAGAGAGGTGCCACCTGTATGGATGGCAGAGGTCAGCAGCGTCTCTAACTGGGTGTCAACGTGCACCCTCCACAGGGTCTCAGTGGGTCCCTATGCCCCCAGGCCACAGGAAAGAACTTTCCAGAGAGTGGAAGACGTTGCCTGCTACACACCCACACTCTCATCCCCTCCTGAGCCTGACCGCTCCTCACCTCGCACCTGCCCGTGGAAGCAGCGGCACATGCCTCAGATCTGCAGGTCTGCACACACCAGTTCTGCTGAGGTTCCCATGGTGGCAGGGTGGTTCAGTGAAGGCACCTGAGGGGAGCTTCCTGGGACAGAGTCCAAGCACCACCACCCCCCGCTTCTCAGACCTGCCTCCCATGCCTCAGTTTCCTTATTGGTGAGGGTATACAGACAGTGTCCACCTGCTAGAGACTTAAATGAATGAACACTTGAAAGGCAGCGAGCATAGCGCCAGGCATGTGGTAAGTGTGATGTGTTTGCGAAATACGTGAGTTCATTTGTTCCATTTTTTCTGTGTGGGGAGTCTGCGTGGTGAGATGTTTTACCTGGCTAAGAGCAGAGCATCCCCTGTCTGTATGTGGCTAAACCAACCCCCTCCAGCAAATACCAACGTAGCCCACACGCTTGAAATAACATCCTTGAGACACTATACCATCAAATTCCCCCAATCTTACAATGAAAGAAAACAAGGCAACTAGACACCCTCCAGAATGTCAAAGAAGAATCAGGTGTATTAAAGAAGTTGACCAGACCATCCCTGCTAAGAACCTAACCCCCCCCACCCCCCCGGTTGACTGTATCTGGAGATGGGGCTTCTAAGGACGTAATTATGGTTACATGAGTCACAAGGGCACTGATAGGATGGGATTAGTGTCCTTACAAGAAGAGACCCAGAGATCTTGTTCTGTGCACCCAAAGAAAAGGGGTCACATGAGCACATGGAATGATGGCGGCTGCCTATGAGCCAGGAAGACACCCCGGAAGGAAATCTACCCACTGGCACCTCGACCTTGGACTTCCAGCCTCCAGAGCTGTGAGAAACCATGTCCGTTGTGAAAGCCCCCAGTCTGTGGTATTTTAAGGAAGCCTGAATACGACAAAAATAACCAACCTTTGCAGGCTTTCTCTCTCTCTCTCTGATCCCAAGTAATAAAGAGGAATGACCACTCAAAACCACGTTGGTAGGGGTTAAGGGGGTCATGAGGCAGATCTCTGGGGCTTTCTCTCCGAATTTCTCCTCAATATCCTTTTCCCCTCCAGACTCTTCAATCTGTTGTTCCCCAAAATGTCTCTTAAGTGCTCAGAATATAGGGGTACAATTTATTGGTATTTGTGGTGATCTCTATTTTTAAGTTTAAAAGTACATAATTTTTTCCTACATCTTTCTTAAAAAAATAAAAAACAACACTATGACTGTCCAAATGTGTATAGACATCACGAAGCATTTTGGCAGGAGACTGTGGCTTTGATAAGAAAAAGCTGTTCCTTTTTCCTGTGCGTTGTTCTTTTTCTTTCTTTTTTTTTTTTTTTTTTTTTTAAATCCTCACGGAGAGCTTGGCAGAGTGATGGTCAGCCTGTGCCTGCACCCCTGCCCCAAATACAGAGGTGCTCGGGACTCAAGGAAGTGAGCAAGCTCTTGGGGACCACATGGCTGGGCAGGGAAGTCAGGGAGGGCACGTCCCATTTCCGTCAAGCTGGGCCAGGTGACACGTCACCCTCTCTAGGACGCACTTCTAGCTGAACTGCAAAGCCTGTCTTCATTTTGGAGCTGCAACCTTGACACATTCCTACACCCTCTCCCTGCCATCGTGCCAGCATGACCCTGGGCTCCCTCTCAGGGACCGTGTGCTCATCCTGGTACATCTAGCAGAGCCCTGTGGGACCATGCCCTGCAGCTGGGATTCTCAAAGATTAACTAATCTGAAAGTTTGGGCGTGGTCAAAGTCCAATTGCTGGGCCTCTCCTCAAGGTTTCTGAGCCATTAAGACTGGTCTGTGAATTTGCATTTCTACCAAGTTCCCGGGGATGCAGTCGCTGTTGGTCAGGGACCTCGCTTTGAAAACTAGTTTACTCCTCGTACTCATGAAATGAGC